GCACTTCAGAAGCAAAGAGGGAGACAGGAATTTGGGGGCAGGTGGTTGATTTGGGAGGTGATCCCAGGCAAGACCAGTGTTGAGTAAGGAGATCAGATGGAAGAAACAGAGCTGGTAGAGACGTGTTATTAAGCAGATTAACACTGTCCGGGGGTAGGTCACCCTATCCAAGGGCAGCCTGGGGTATCTATCCCACCCGCATGCCCAGGGGAGAGCCGTTGGAGTGGAGAGGTGAATGTGGGGAGGAGGGGTGGGGCCCTTCCTGCCACCCCGCTCACCCGCTCCTCCCCACAGTGGACCCCTTGGCCCAGGTGACTCAGCTATTCCGCGAACATCTCTTGGAGCGAGCACTGAATTGTGTGGCTCAGCCCAGTCCCAGCCCTGGATCGGCTGATGGGGACAGGTGAGTGGCCCTGCGCCCCCCGCCCCACACACCCCCACCAGGCAAGCACCCTCCACGGTAAGTCTGGGAGTGGCTGTGTCCAGGGCCGTGGGTGGGTGGCCAGAGCCAGGCTACTGCCCACCTGCTGTGCGGCCTCGGGCGCATCTCAGTTCCTCCCTGGGTCTGTCTCCCTAGCAGCTGGCCAGGAAGGGAGCTGGGAGGTCAGGCTGGGCTCTGGTGGGAGGGGAGGAGGGCCGGGGCCTTCGCAGAAGCCCTGCCCCCTGTCCTGACAGCGAGGTGTCTCTCCTGCCACAGGGAGTTCTTGGACGCCCTGGGGTACCTGCAGCTGCTCAACAGCTGTTCCGATGCTGCCGGGGTTCCCGCCTGTAGCTTTTCCATCAGCTCCAGCACGGCCACCACCACTGGTGAGTCCCCAGGCCCCCGCCCCGCGACCCCCGGCTCCGCCTCAGCTGCAGTGTGGCTGAGCTTCAGGGAGCCTCCCCCCACCCCCATGCTTCCTGCAGGCACAGACCCTGTGGCCAAGTGGTGGGCCTCCCTGACGGCCGTGGTGATCCACTGGCTGCGGCGTGATGAGGAGGCGGCTGAGCGGCTGTACCCGCTGGTGGAGCACCTGCCCCGTGCCCTGCAGGAGTCTGAGTGAGGATCCGCCAGATTCTCCCGGCACCCCCAGCGCGGTGCTGCCCCTCAGCCTTGGTTTTGTGCGGTTGGGGTCTCAGTGTGGGTCTGGGCCCGGTTTGACCATCAGTCCTCTGCCCTGGCCCCAACAGGAGACCCCTGCCCAGGGCGGCTCTGCACTCCTTCAAGGCAGCCCGGGCCGTGCTGGGCCGCGGGAAGGCAGAGTCTGGCCCGGCCAGCCTGGCCATCTGTGAGAAGGCCAGTGGGTACCTGCAGGACAGCCTGGCCACCACCCCAGCTGGCAGCTCCATCAACAAGGTGAGGGGTGGTGCTGGGGGCCTGGCAGGTCTTGGGGGGCTGTCACCGCCCTTTCTGTCCCTGGACCTTCCCCCTTGCGCTGCAGAAGACTGTGGGCTTATCCCCGCAGTACTGGATGGGGGGCGCACTCGCTAAGGCCCCAGTCGCCCCAGCCCCAGGAGGAGGGGTGGGGTGAGGGGTCTGGCAGAGCTCTCTTTGGAGGCTGCTCCTGTGGCAGGTGGCAGGCGTGGGGGCCTGGAGAGGCGGGCGGCCCCGCGGTGCATTGCTGTTGCATTGCACGTGAGTGACGCGGGTGCAGTGCCTCCGCAGTGCAGCCCGGAGCCGGCCCCTGGCACCGTGGGCCCCCACCCGTCCCCTCCCACAGCCGGAGGCCCCCCCCCCCGTGACCCCTGCCCTGCCCTCCCCACCCCTCCAGGCCATGCAGCTGCTCCTGTGTGACTTGCTCCTCGTGGCGCGGACTAGCCTGTGGCGGCGGCAGCAGCTACCTGCACCCCCCCAGGCCTCGCAGGGCCCAGGCGCTGGAGCCCAGGCCTCCGCCCTTGAACTGCGTGGCTTCCAGCGGGACCTGAGTGGCCTGAGGCGTCTGGCACAGAGCTTCCGGCCCGCCATGCGGAGGGTGAGTGGCCACGGGGCCCTTCACCAGCAGGTGCGGGGAGAGTGGGGGCCCGGCCCGAACCCCGACTCTCCGGGCCCCCTCCTGCCCAGGTGTTTCTGCACGAGGCCACGGCCCGGCTGATGGCGGGGGCCAGCCCCACGCGGACACACCAGCTCCTGGACCGCAGTCTGCGGAGGAGGGCAGGCCCCTGTGGCAAAGGTGAGCGGGGCGCTGCCCTGGTAGGGGCGGGTTCGGGCCGCGCCCGGGGCTGGGAAGGCCCAGACGGTGTGACGGATGCCGAGCGCTGCTGTGTAAGAGGCAGAGACCGAGGGACTTCGTGCCGGTTGCCAGAGGGCGATATCCCACCTGCGAAATCCACTGGGGGCCACTGTCACCTGCAGGGAAAGGCGACTGTGCCGAGTCCATTGTACCGTACGGGCCCCGGGGAGGGGTCTGAGGCTCCAGGGGTGCGCCCGAGAAGGGCGGGGGGGGCGGGGCCAGGCTCGGAGCCCCGCCCCTGACGCCCGTGCGGTGTGCGCAGGCGCAGCGGCCGAGCTGGAGCCGCGGCCCACGCGGCGGGAGCACGCCGAGGCCTTGCTGCTGGCCTCCTGCTACTTACCGCCCGGCTTCCTGTCGGCGCCGGGGCAGCGCGTGGGCATGCTGGCCGAGGCGGCGCGCACGCTCGAGAAGCTCGGCGACCGCCGCCTGCTGCACGACTGCCAGCAAATGCTCATGCGCCTGGGCGGCGGGACCACCGTCACCTCCAGCTAGGTCCCCGTCGGCGGCCCCAGTGGGGCCTGTGTGCCGGGCCGGAGCCTCGACGGCCGAAGGCAGCGCTGAGGAACCCCAAATGTCCATGGTCCGCCCACGTACTGCTGTCTCTTGGGGGGATGGGAGGCACGCAGGGGCTTTTGCTGCCTCTTGACCTGGGAGGCCGGTGGGGGCGAGACCCCGCCCCGTGCCCCGCCCCACCCCGTGCCCCGCCCCACCCCGTGCCCCGCCCCACCCCGTGCCCCAACCCGACGAGCGGCGGCCAGCATGTGCTGACCTCTGGTGGCCGATCGGGGGATTGCAGGGGCCGGGCGGCCGATGGGACTTCGCTCTGCAGGCGCCCAGTGGCTTTTCCCTCTCCCCTCTCACAGAGGGGTACATTTTACTGAGCTGAGGGGGGCCTACTTGGCTTTCCCAGCCAGCAAGGGGGTCCTACTCCAAGGCGCCTCTCTCCCTTCTGGAGAGACTTGTACATACTGTAGATGAGGGCGCACCAGCCTCCTGGCCTCTGAGGCTCAAGTGTTACTTTGCCTTTTGCAGACTTTATTTTCATAGTTTGAGAAGTTTTGTACAGAGAATAAAAGATGAAATTATTTATAATCTGGGTTTTGTTTCTTTGGGGAGGAGGGTGTGTACTTTAGCTGATAGACCCCCAGCAGAGGGGGTCCTTTGAGCCTCTCCCTCTCCTCCTACCCCAGCACCCAAAGGTTTCCCTCTCCCATCGGTCCTGAGACCAAAATTTCCCATTCGATGTGGGAGGCTTGTCGCTGTGGGAGACCTGTCGCTGTGACCTCCAGGTGACCTGGATTCCACCAATTTCCGTGCCACATGGTTGGGCTGTATCAACCCTTAATCCTTAAGGGCTGTTGTGGTCTCAGCTGTCCCTTTCTCTCTGCTTCTACCCCTATCAGTTGCCAGGGTGACATGAGAGGGTGACTCCGTGTCCTTAAGGATCTGTTGTGATGGGAGCTACAGCCGTATCGCTGTTTGGGCTGTTCGTCTCACCTCCCCTACCCCTTCGCGGGTTCTCCCTCTCCCAAACTTGGGGAAGTCTCCGGCCCCCATCATAACCTGAGACCCTGAGGCCGCGTGGGGTGTGGGGTGGCTGGGTGGATGTCTACGCAGCAGGGGCTTGTCTCCCGTTCCCGCCCTTACGGTACCGACTAGAACCCTTGCCTGTCCATGGGTGTCCCGCCGAGCCTTCCTCTCCATCCCCCCCCCCCCCCTCCCCCCCCCCCCCCCCCCCCCAGGCCTGGCCCCCTCTCCCAGCGGAATCTGGTTAGAATCCACGGGCTGCAAACTTCCAAAACAATCGTTGTATCTTTATTGACTTTTTTTTTTCTGAATGCAATGACTGTTTTTTACTCTTAAGGAAAATAAACATCTTTTAGAAACAGCTCGATACACACAATCTTCAGTGTGAAGCAATATACTAATAAGAACACTAGTCGTCTTAACATTTACAGTCTTCATATATATTATATATATGTATATGTATACATATATATACACTATATAACGAGGCCAGATATAATACACACGTTTACCATTTTACAGTCATATGTACAGGAAGTTGCTAGGGCGGCCCCAGTGTGGGGGCTGCGTCAGGCCTATCGAAGCGTGGACAGAGCTGAGGACACAGACGGACAGGCGGACGGACTGGCGGGGACTGGCTTGGGCCGGTGGTGGCTGCGCCGGGAGGGCGGGCATCGTCGTAGCCCCCTTCCCGGCAAGGGCCCCGTGCTGAGGGACGCACGACGCACGGCGGCGGCGACACACGGGAGAAGCGAGCATGTTCCCAACATATATACATTCTATGTAACATATATATAGAGGGGTACACAGGTTTGTACACGAATCTAGCGCTGTCTCTGCTCCCGTGCCGGGTGGGCGCTGCTGTCCCTGGAGACGGGTGGTCGTGCACAGGGACGGTCACGCATCCACCGGAGGTGCGCTCTGGTCGCCACTCCCTTCCTTTGCCTTCCCAGGCGGCGCTCCAGGGGTGGGGCGGAGGACTGGAAAGGGGACGACAGAGGCCAAAGGGCGGGGGCCAGTCCCGCCCACACCCGGGGAGCCCGCATCCCCTGAGCATGGGTCCCGGACTCCCCAGGCCCTGCCCCAAACCGCTCGAAAGTGTTGGCCGAGGCTGGGTGGGTGGGAAGGGCACTAGGACACGATTCGAAAGGATCCTTCCAAAGCCTCCGGCCTCCTACCCCGCCGGCCTAGTCCTCTCCAGCAAGGCTTCGGCTCCCTCCCTACCCCCACCCCCAGCCCCCCCGCCTCGGAGCCTGGAGCCGCCCTGGCCACTTCCAGGGCCCTTTGGACCCCCACCCCCACCCCCAGGGCCCCTAGCTGCAAGCCACGCCGGCTGCGGCGGCGGCAGCACCCACGTGGAATGTGTGCCACGTCCTCTTGGAACTACCAGGGGGAGAAGCGTGTCCCCAGGCTAAAGGCGTCTCCAATCCCCGCCGGGGCCTTGGTGCCCCAGGGAGTCTGGCCGCTCCGCGGGCTCCCCCTCTCCAAGCCTGGCCCTGGGGGGTGTGGGCGGGAACGTCCTGTGTCGTCCTGTTCCGGGAGCAGGCGGCTCCGGAACGTGTTTTCTTCCCAACCCGGGACCGCAAGTTTCAGCCCTAGGCGGCCAGATCCAAGATCCGGAGTCCGGATCAAGGATCGGCTCTGGACCCGCGCGGGGAGCAGCTCAAAGGCCCGGGGGCTGCGCAGGCGGCTCCTCTCCTTCGGCGGCGGGCGGGCAGGCGGGCTTCGGCGGCTTCTCCGGCCGCTGGGGTGGATTACAACGGCAGCCTCTGCAGGAGAAGAGACGCCCGAGCGCCCGTCATTGCCGGCGGTGGACACGTGCTAGGGACTAATAAATCCCGGCCCCGCCCCTCCCGGCGTGGCCCCGCCCCCCGCGAGAGGCTCCGCCCTTGCCCGCACTGCTCGCACCGCGCGCCGGGGGCCGGAGCCTCCCCTGCAGAACCCCCGGCCTCACCTTAGGCCTTAACATTTCTCTACCCCCACTCTGCCACCGTCACCTCCCTCCGCGCCCATCGTCCTGTGCCCCTGCCTGCCCTTCCTGTCGCCCACCTGGGATGGCTCCCTCCTTCAGGACCTGTCTCGTTATAAGGCGGTCTTTATGACCAGCGTGTGCCTACCTGCCCCAAAGGCTGCAGATACACCTCGAATAATAAGGTTTTGGAGGCGGACAGGTGGGGCCTGGGCCCTGCTGAGGGTCCACAGGGCAAGGGGTGGGGAGAGGGGAGGGGCTCCCCTCCAGGGAAGGCTTGCGGGTTACCTACCTTATGTTTGGGACACTTCAAAGAAAAGTTCTCTTCGATGAATATGCAACCTGCCACCAAAAAGAAGTGTGGGTGGTTAGGATGGCTGCTGGTGCCTCGTCAGGGGGCCAGGCAGGGAGGGGGACCTAGCGCCCCTGAGACCCTAGGCTACGGGGCTTCTTTGCAAAAAGTAGAGCAGACCCTGCTTGAGATTCTCCAGGGTCTAAACTCCATCCCGGCTGAACTGGCCTCCATCTGCCTCCAGCCCTACTGGCCCGTGTGTCCCTGTTCTGCCCCCCACCTGGAAGGCCTTCTTGTCACTCGGGAGGACTTCCCTGACTCCCTGGCTATGGCAGAGACCCCCTATGCCCGTCTCTCCCCTGCCCCTGCTTCACTTCGCTTGGCCACACTTGTCACTTCCTCCTAGTGGTCTAAATACCGGTGACTTGCTCATGGTCTCTGCCCCACTGGAAGGCAAGCTCCGTGTGGCCGCTTGCCCTCTTCCCTGGATGCAGGCCCAGCCTCGAGAAGGCCTTGATAACGAGCGGGCTAATGGACTGGGTGGTGCGGTCCCAGGTCTGGATTCAAGTATCAGCTGCTTCTTTGAGCCTCGGTGTCCACATCTGTAAAACGGACCTTATGCCACCTACCGTGTCTGTCTCTATCATGGGGACTGATGAGGGCAATGTATATAAGCCACCTGCACGTGCGTGGCTCAGAGCAGGCACTCAGGATATGGGCTTGTCCTTGTGGGGGCCTTGAAGGGGAGGCAGACCTGAGTCTGGGGCCAGGGGGAAGACTGAGGTCTTGGATCTGGGTGAATCCCAGCAGGTATTTGGGTGCCCACAGCACTGGCCACCCTGGGGGGACAGAGGATGGCTGAGCATGGCTGGTTCCTGCTGCCCGCCTCAGCCCAGGGGTGCACTGGCATCTCAGCAAGTCCTCACTCCACTGCCCGCTCTCACCTACGGAGGCCCTGGCTTCTCCCCCAGGAGTCCCCGTTCACAACACCCAGTCCCCTTCTGGGCTCACCCCCCTCCCTCCCATGCCCCGATGGCCATTGTTCTGAACAAACCCCAAACCCATAAATAGCCGGAGGCCTGAGCTGGCCAAGCAAGTCCTCTCCTTCCAGCACATTCCTCCTGCTCACGCTGTGGCTCTGTGCCGTGGCATCGCGACAGCGTGGTGGCTGGTAGGCAGGGCGGGGAGGCAAGGGCAGATCCGCAGGCCCGAGAGCAGGGTTGGGAAGGCTCCAGGCCTGCAGCTGGCTCCCCTTTTTTTCCGACCAGCCCCGGCCAGAAGCTGCAAACTCAGGCTGCAAAGTGCCCCTGAGTTTCTGCACTCGGAGCCAGCGTCTGGGGGGAGATCCTCAGTGTGTCGTCTTCCCTCTGCTCAGGCAAGCGAGACACGGTTCTGCAACTGAACGCACGCCTTCCAAAGAGCACTGAGCTCATACCCCAGGCCGGCTGCACACGGGGTGTCCTCCCCGCCCCACATCCCACTGCAGGCCTGACGGTCAAGGGATGGGGTCTCCGCAAGTGAAGGGCAGGAGGTCACCACGTCCCAAACCAGCTTGCTCAGCCACCCCCCGGCATGCCCCGCCCCTGGACATGCAGAGGGGGACCATAAGGAAGGAGCCGGGTCATTGGTTCTTGGTGCCTCTCTTGGTGTCTGCACCTGGGGACCCCGGGCCCCCCGCAGCCTGAGTGTGGAAAGGCTCAGACAGGACCCGTGGTGCGCTGGCTTCTGCCAGCAATTTCGAGTCACTTAGCCCCAGGGAGGTGCTCGTTAATGGGGTTGAACGCACAGGGTTAGTGGGCCAGGGCAGCAGGGAAGGGCAGAGGGGGGCAGCCCCGGTGCCCTGCGGCCCGAGAGCCGACACCTGGAGACCCGGGGCCTGGGTAGGTGCATGGTGCACACGGAGGCCCGGGGCTCCCGTCTGCCAAACGCCGGATGGCCTGCCCAGCCCCCTGCCTCAGGTCCTCTGCCCTCCACCCCTCCTGCCTGGCCAGAGGTGCCCCGGCCAGCCCGCCCTTCTGGCCTCCGGGCTCACTTGTTCTCCCAGCTTCTTTGGCTGTCGCCCCCGCCCCCCGCAGCTGTGAAATGCTGGCGCCCACTCCCCCCATGCGGCCCCCTCCTGCGATCTGACGACCCCTTGGGCTGACGGCCAGTGGGTCTCTCTGTCCTGAGCCCGGCTGGGGACAGCTCCCCAACCTGTGCACAGGGAAGCAGCCACGTGTCATGGACAGATGGCCAAGAGTTTTGCTCCAAGCGCCCTCCCTGGGCCGCCAGCCTCGGCAAGGTGGCTCCGTAGTTCCGCCCATGCAGAAGAGGCCCCAGCCTGTGAATCTGGGCAGCCTGGGGGACTTGGTGGGGTCAACTGTGGGGGGCCCGGGCCCGCTGGGCGGGAGAGCCTGCATGGAGCAGGGCAGAGCTGACCGGACAGCCGACCACGGCCGTCCCCCTCCCGCCACCAGTGAGTGGTGCGGGGGTCCGCGAGCGGGCATAGCCCTCAGCACACCCCTGGCTGGCCTCACACCTGTCTCCCAACACGGGGAAGTTGGCCGCTGGCTCCGCACCTCCCTCTCCCTGCCCCTCCCCTAAGGCCTGTGCACTCAGCGCCATTGAGGTCTCTGCAAGCCCCTTCTCACTGAGTCAAGAGTCTCCTCCTCCTGTGGCAATCCCCGGGGCTCTACAGACATCCCTATTATGTGGGGAATCCTCCGGAGACTTCATTCAGAACAGAACCTGTATTGCTCCAAGCCACTAACCAGCTGCTGCGCACCTCCCCTGACCTTGTGGGGCCTGGCGCCAATGCCACCTCCTCCAGGGAGTCCTCCTGCATTCCCTCCCAGCTCAGACAGGATGAATCTCTCCCACGGCACACACTCTCTCCACCGTATCTGGTCTCCGTAACTTTGGGCAAGGATCATGCTTTTCCTGTCTGTCCCACTCACAGGGAGGCCCCAGGGGGCTGGACAGTACTGCGCTGAGAGCGAGCGAGCGAGCACGGGATGTGGAGCCAGACAGGCAAAGTCTGTCCGTGCTGCTGTGTGTGGCCTGGGGAAGGCAGCCTATCTGTAAAGATGCAAATGGGGACAGAGCCAGGGCCTGACTCCGGGCCTGGTGGGGAGTGGGTGTGAATTAATCCCCGCAGAAGGAGGGGGTGCAGCTCGTGCTCGCATTCCAGCCCTGGCGAAGGAACTGTCCCCACTCAGTCCTGTGTGTGCTCCTGCGGGTGGCTCAGCTGGGGCTGCTGCCGCCCTGGGAGCAGGCGGCGGGGGGGGGGGGGGGGGGGGGGGGGGGGGGGGGGAGGGGAGGCCTGATCCTGCCTCCAGGCCTCCGGGGCCTCCCTGTCCCCTGGGGCTGGCTCTTACCTGCATCCGTGGCACACGGGTAATGGTACGTGTGGGTACATCCTTTGTGGCAGCACCCGATGGTGGCCCCGGCTTCCTGGCAGCTGGAACAGGTCTGGCGAGGAGAGAGGGAAGCTGGGGTGAGTCTGCAGTGGGCCCCTCACGGACCCCACCTCCCCCCGCCCCGAAATCAGTTGGAAGGAGGTTGCAGGTGGCCCGGGGGCTGATTCTGTGGCAGCCCCGGGCTCGGATGAGGGGACCCTCTTGGGGCAGGGGCCTGTTGAACCCCACGCAGGATAAATGTCGAACCTCATGGGTTCGCATCCCAGCTCTGCCATTCTGCGCTGGGTGACCTCAGCCGGTCATCCAAAGTCTCCAGGCCCCACCTGGGCGAGGAGGGACGGGCCCCCCGCCCCGCTACAGGCCAGTCGTGTGAAAATCACACGGGAGACACCGCGTGCCCAGCAGACGACAAGAAGCGGTGAGGCTGCTGTGGGTGTGGCTACCGGCTGGTGCTGAGCAGGGCTTCGGTGCGCAGGGCACGGGGCGTGTCCTTACCCACTGGCTCCTCTCAGCCGCCCTGGACAGGGGCGGGGGGGGGGGACTGTCATGAACCCCATTTTCTAGACGGTGAAACTGAGGCCTCCACTCCAGGCGAGCGTGAAGGCGATAAGCATCGTTTTCTACCCTGTCTGGCAGCCACACGAGCACGGAGCCCAGAATGGACCTGTCCCACCCTCCGAGGGCCCCCGCCCCCCGCTGCCCAGGTGCACAGAGGAGGGGACAGGCAGAGTTGCTTTAGATGCACGCGGTGTCCCACACCTGGCCCAGCTGTCCGAAGAGGGACGTGGCCGGGACAGCTGGGCCACTCCAAGAAGGCCCTCTGAAGAGCAAGAGAAGCTCTGCAGCCTGGAGAGGGACAGGCTGGGCCCCAAGTCCCGCAGACTCCAGAACTACAGCCCCGCTCTACCAGTCGGGGAGTACATACCACGGGGAAGCAGAGCAGTGGTAGGCCCAGGCCCCAGCGCTAAGCCACCGGGACGGGTCACTCATGCGGCGCCCCGTGGGCCTGGAAGCAGCCACCTCATAACCTTATGATGTTGGTATTATCATAATTCTACCCAGGTTGCCGAGGAGAGCTCAGAGAGGCTGAGTAACCTGCCTGAGGGCACACAGCTCCCAAGTAGCTGAGCTGGGCTTTGAGCTGGCAAAAATCTCCCCGTACTGCTCGGGGCCAGGGGTGGGCTCCATCCCACGTCCACGACTGAGAGAGGGACCCCACCTGCAGCAACTGGGAGAGACCAGGAGCGAGAAAGTCTTCTCCCACCTTCCTGGGGAATAAGGCCTGGGAAGGCTCCCTGCGGCATCAAGCTGGGAGGGGGTAGGTACAGGGAGATGGGCTGGGTATGTTCTGGAACATCAGGTTTCCATACATGCCTTCAGATGGGCAGTTGCCTTCCGGTCAAGGCTGAGATCTCCTGGGGCTGTGGGACCCAAACAGTGCCTCAATTTCTGACCCACAAAGAGGTGACGGAGCAGAAGGGGGGCCCAGACCAGGGCCAGGCCCTCAGGTGTTTTGTTGGTTAAAGGGGAACAGCCAGAGGGGCGGCGCCTGCACTGAGGCCCGCCCCCCCCAAAAAAACTGATGAGCGGCGTTCCAGACACGAAGAAACCGAGGTACAGAGAGACAGAGGTGTTGGGCCCTTCTGAGCCTAGCAACCGAGCTCTGACCCCCTGCTCCCCCAGCAGGGCTTGTGAACCTGCCAAAGGATCCCAGGTTGGTGGGGGGGGGGCCCAAACTGGGGTCTGAGCCCTTGCTAGCAGCTTCCAAGTAACACCCAGTGAGAGGTGCATGCCCCCATCCTTGGCATCCATGGCCAGGCCTCACCTGGATAGGACGTGGGGTCTGCAGTGGTTCTGGGCAGACTGAGAAACTGAGGTCCTGGGAGGTGGGCATGGGAGGGCTGAGGGACAACAGTTTGTGTGGGGGTCCTAGGGAGGGGTCGGAGAAGAAAGAGGGCTATCCCTGAGGGGCCCCCACAGAACTTCCGCCCCCCCCGAGAGCGAGACTGAGGCCAAGGTACCAACAGGCATGCTGGGGCCTTCTGAAGCTCCCAGAGGGCAGTGACTTGCTGGGGTCACAGACCTCAGTCAGCAGAGCTGAGGTTTGAACCCGGGTCTGTGTGTCTCCGAGGGAGCCAAGGCAGTAAGAGGTCTTGGCCCGGGACAGGAGGCCTAGGCTGCAGGAGGTGAGGGCGTGGAGCTGGGACCCTCAAAGTCTCAGAGCCTGGCCGTCTCTCCAGAGTGTTCTGAGCGTCTGGTGGGGGGACGCTGCTTTGGTGGGCCCCTGTGAGGCTCAGCCCGGCTGCCAGCTCGGGCCTGGCCCAGGGCCATCGGAGGCAGGGAGGCCTTTTAGACCCCATCTGAGCTGACTTGGGGGAGGTAGGAAGATGCGGCTGGGGAGCAGCGAAGGCCTGCTGGTGTGTGTCCTAACCCCCCCAGCACCGCCCCCCCGCCCCCGGCCTGACCTTCCCAGGGATGCCCCCAGTGGCAGGAGGCCAGCAGACCATTTTGGGCATAGGGCGCAGCGGGCAGAGACTGGCGTAATTCCAGCCCAGTGCTCAAGAGCTGTGTGACAGCAGGGAAGCAGGGTGCCACTCTGACCCCCAGCTTCCTCGTCAGTCCAGCAGGACTTTAGTGCAGGTCCATGAGGCGAGACCAGAGCTCCCGGGACAGGCTCAGCCCGTGTTTGATTAGCCCACCACCATGGAAAAGACTGGATCGGGCCCCAGCTCAGAGAAGGATGGAGAAGCAGCACAGCCTGGCCCAGAGCCGTGGAGGCAGGGGAGGCCTGGATGGGGGGGGCCTGGTGGGGCGTGGGTGTCAGAGGAGGGGATTGGTGATCTGAGGGTATTACTTTTTAATGAGGGAAGAGACTTGAGCCTATTTCAGGATGGCTGGGAAGGAGCCAAGAGCCAGTGACAGAGAGAGAGACAGAGACAGAGAGAGAGGGAGGGAGGGAGGGAGGAGCACGGAAAGTGCAGGTGTCCTGTTGGAGGTGGGGTTTCCTCAGTCAGGTTGCAGGCCCCTGGGCAGGATGTCTGGGCCTGCAGAGGTCTCCCACCATGCCCCGCGGCAGTGGAAGGTGGGTGCAGGAACCCAGGTGAGGCCGAGGCCCTTGGGCACAGGAGGTTTGCATCCCAGGTGTGGCTGTCCGTGTGCGTGTGTGCGTGTGTGTGCATGTGTGTGAGCGCGTGTGTGCGCGTGTCGGGGGGAGGCGGGCAAGAGCACAGGCCCCGGGAAGAGACTGCTGACCCCGGCACCCCGTCTAGCTGCCTGCTCACTCTGGCCTCCTGCACCCCTCAGAAGGGAGCGTGAGGAGCAGGAAGCCCTGGTAGCTGGAGTGGTAGGAACACTGCTGGTGAGCCGAGGCCCCGGCCGACGTCCCTTGTCCTCGCAGGGGGCCGTCGGCGGGCGCTCAGACAGGCCTGGTGGCTTCACGGGCACGGACTCACTCAGCCCTCACAGCCCTGCTGCGTGGCCCACGCCGGCCATGAGGACACGGGGGTACGGAGGGGCGAAGCCCCAGGCCCCGAGTCCCACGGGGAGGGATGGGCCGTGCTGGGATCTGAACCGAGAAGGCAGCCTGAGTTCCTGCTCACAGACCTCAGGGACTGGAGGTCCTCCAGGAGCACGTTATGACCGTTGCGGAGAGGTCCCCAGACCACCCTGCCCGAGGGGACACGTGCCGACCCACCATGTGTGGAGAGGCTCCTTCCCAGAGCCCAAGGGGACAGGTAGGTGCCGGGACGGGGGGGTGGGGGGGGTGGGGGGGAACCTGGAGCAGGAAGAGCAGGAAGGTGCCGCGTGCCGGGCTGGGCCGGGCAAGTCGGGGACCGGGGTGGGTGAGCGTGTCCTGCCTCGGCCTCAACTCCACCCCAAAACTCCCCGGAGAGGAATTGGTGACGGCAGGCAGGTTTGGCCCAAACCATGGCGCCGGCAAAGATGGGGTGGGGGGGGGCTTCCCAGTGGCCTGCCCGCCTGCCTGTCCTGTGCACCCCGGGCTCCCCGCCCCAGCCGGGCTGGCCTCTTACCATGTCCACGGCCACCTTCATGGCCTCCTGCAGCCCAAAGAGCTTCCCGGCTACCAGGTAGACCCCGGCCGTCCACACGGCGCAGGCCTCGTGCACCCAGTGTTCCTGGGTGTCCCCGCCAGGCTCGGCCGGTGGCTCCTTGCTGCACTCATGCTTGCGGCTCTTGTCAGCCGGGGCCGCCTCCTCGCCACCGTCCCCCCGACTGTCACAGCAGTAACAGCTCTGCAGCCGCCGGGACAGGCCCCGGGCGCTGGTGCGCAGCGAGCCCTGCTTGCCGGGGTCGGCCGGGCCCTCGGGCCTCGGGGGCTTGCCAGTGGCAACAGCGGCTGCGCACTCGAGGTCTTTGAGTGTTCTCTCGAGGGGCAGCGAGACCTCCTCGCAGGTGCCCTCCGGCCGCACCTTCTCCTTGAGTTTTGGCTTCTTTTTGGGGAGGCAGTGTTCGGGGTAGTAGGGCCCACAGAGGTCCCCGAGGTCCTTGAAGTTGGCCGGGTTTTGGCAGAGGCAGCAAACAAGGCAAGAGGTACTCAGGGCCTTGGAGACCACGGGCCCCAGATGCATGGTGGAGGAGAGGGGCAGGGAGGGCCGTGGCTGCAGGACAGAGCCTCCAGGGAGCGTGGCCAAGGAGGCCCCGGTCGCGTCCAAGGAGAATGAGCATGAGGACGATGAAGAGGAGGCGGAGGAGGAAGGCTTCCTGTGGGGCTTGGGCTCCTCCCCAGGGGAGTTGACCACAGTGCATATGGTGGTGAACGCGTCTCGCTTCTCCACCCGCACAAAGGGCGAGAAGGCCGGGGTGCGGCTGTCTGCCCGAAGCCGCTTGCACGAGGAAATGTACTTGAGGCGGATTTCAGGCTCGGCGGGATCCAGGGGCAGCACCTGCTGCTGCCGCCGCCGCTTGGCACGCCCCTTACAGGGTGAGGAGGTGGAGTTCTTGGCCCGGCCCCGGGTGAGGCGCTTTCGCTTGGAATAGCTGCTGTAGTTGGTGTGGCCCGGCTGCTTCTGTGCCCTCGTCTGGGCCTGGCAGGGCCGGCCTTCAGGGGACTGGGAGGCCAGGCCCAGCTCCTCTGTCTTTGGCTTCTTGCCTCCTCCACCAGAGCTGTCCTCACCGCCCCCCTGAGTGCCACTGGCCCTGTCTCGGGGGGTCAGGAGCAGAGCCGGGCCTAGATGGGGCCGCTTCTCCAGGGGACCTCTGGGGAGTCCGAGGGCTCCAGCCCTGCCTTTCCGGCTTCTCTTCTTAGGCGCCAGGGCAGTCTCCCCGGGCAGCAGGGCCTCGGGCGATGTGAAGGCCTCAGTTTTGAAACAGTCAGTCGAGGACAGTTTCTTACTGTTTAGGAGTTTGCCTTTTAAGGATCTGTTGGTCGGATTTCTGCATAAGGGGTCGGCCCCCGGAGCTGCGGGGGGCTTCTGCCCGGGGCCCACATTTAAGAGACCTTCTCCTGCCCCAACTGGGCTGCCGCCCGCACTCTTCAGCCCACGGTCCTTCTCAGGGAGAGAGGGGCTCAGAGGGTTACCGGGAGGGGCCCCCGGCGCCTTGCACGCAAACTTCTTCAGGCTGGGCGAGGTGATCTTCTGCACAATGGCCTCCAGCTTCAGGCCCCTGCCTTTCCGGGGTGGAAGCACCTTGGTCTTCATGGCCCCCTGGAAGGCCGCCCGTGAGGCGAGCTTCAGGCAGGCGTCGGGGGTCTCTGGGGGCGGGGGCTTCACGGCAGGCTCGCCGCTGTTGCCCTTGGCGGGCTTGGCCTTCTTGGGCGAAGAGACCCTCTTGAAGAGGGTGGAGGGGTCCTCGGCTCCCTCCTCCTTCACATCCTCCCCGCTGCCGCTCCGTAGAACCAGGTTCCGCTTCTTGGTGGGGACGGGCGCCAGGAAGGCCGACTTCCTCTTGAGCGCGTGGAGGGGCCGGTCAGAGAGCTTGCTGCCTGCGCCCGGCTTGGGGACCCGGGCCCGCTGGCTGGCCCTGCCCTCCTTCTGGGGGCTGCCGGAGACCTTGAACGAGGCAGGCAGGTGGTTGTTGGCCAGCAGCTTCTTGGCGGCACGGCAGTTGGGGAGGCGGCTCTCCGAGGGCCGCCGCCTCTTGGAGTGGAACGCCTCCTGGGTTTTCGTGCGGGACCGCAGGATCATAGAGCGCTGGTCCTTGCCCGGGGTGCCGGGCGAGTCTGTCTCCTTGGTCTTGGAGCCCATGGGGCTGCTGTCCGAGGCCACAGGCAGGGCGGCCGGGTTACTGGGGCTGGAGGCCGCCTTGGGTGACGGCTTGCCCACCCGCTTGCCGGACTTGAAGGCGGCTCGCTGCTTGCCCCCCAGTTTGTCCGGGGGGGCGGGGGTGGTGGTCAGGCCTGGGGGTCCAGGCGTGCGGGGCTCGCTCAGGGCCGTGAAGGAGCGCGTGCACATCCTGGGGAGCCCTTCTGAGGCCCCCCGGCCTGGGGCTCCCGCTCCTTCCATCTGTCCCTGCGGGGGCCCCGTGCAGGATTCGGGGAGCAAGAGGTCCTTGGGCAGCACGGGCGCCCGGCATGGGGAGTCCTCAGCCTCCGGCAGCCCCCGGTGCACCCGCCGGCTCCGTAAGCTTTTGCCGCGTGGCACGGGCTCCTTCTTAGCAATGGGCGCCTCGGGCACGGCCGGCTTGTTGGGCTTCTGTGCCAGGGAGGCATCTGGGGCCAGCGTGGCAGAGTCCCCAGGCGCCAGCACCCCATCGGGGCCTCCTTCGCCCGGCTTCATGTGGGACAGGGAGGACTCAAACCAGCTCTGGACCTTTGACTCGGCGCCCACAGTGGGGCCCAGCAAGATGACGGAATCGCCGGACAGGTGGCACGGGGAGCCCCAGCCGGTCTTGGTGTCCAGCACCTCTTCCACCTCCTCCTTGGTGCACAGCAGGGGGGCCTTCGGCGACAGCGGGTCCGGCAGGCCGGGCCTCTGCTCGGGGCTGCCCAGGAGCTCACACAGGGAGGAGTACTCCTCCTCTGCCTCCAGGTCCTCTTTCCTGCCGGGCGGTGGCAGCAGGGGCAGGTCCCCGAAGTCCGCGGCGGAGCAGCAGTGCCGGCTGTCCTCCAGCCAGCGGTCGGCCTTGCCCACCTCGGGGCACTGCAGCAGCCCGCCCACCTCCTCCTTCACCCCGCCCGCCGCCTCCTGCGCCGAGTCCCGAGGCCCGGCGGCCTTGTCCCCGGGCGGCTCCCCCTCCTGGAAGCCCGGGCAGCCCGAAACCTCGTGGGCATTCTCCTTGCCCACGCCGTCGGAGGCCTTCCCGCCCTGCTCCAGGCCCTTGGTGAGCTCGCCGGGGTGCAGGCCCCAGCGGGGACAAGCATCGCCCAGGTTTTCCTCGGGCCAGGCGAAGGGGTTGCCGCCATCCGCCGAGCTGGCGCTGGTCGTGTCCGGGAAGCAGTCAAAGGCTGCTGCGGCAGGGTCCGGCGTGGCGGCCCCGAGCGTGGTCTTGGGGCTAAAGGCGAGGGGACCGGCCGTCTTCTTGGGGTCCGGGGTGGCAAAGCCCACGGAAGGGTCTTCGAAGAGCCCCGGGCTGAAGTCCTTGGCACCGCCACCCTTGTCGAGCTGCAGGGCCTCGGGCAGGGCCTCCGGCTCCCCCGGCCGCGGCCATGCGTTCTTGGCCACGGCGTCCAGGCAGGCGCTGTGGTTCTCCAGTGAGAAGGGAGGCTTGCTGGCGTCCTTGGCCGGGCCAGGCGCCTCGGCCCAGGCCTTCTCGGCCTTCTCGCCGATGGCCTCCTGCAACCCGAGGATCTCGGAGGCCAGGTCCTCCTGCGCCAGGGCGCTGAGCAGGAGCCGCGGGCAGTCCCGCTCGGCTGCCACAAACTTGGAGAAGCTGTCGAGTGGCAGGCTGCCGTGCAGGCTCTGGAAGGAGTCGTCGGACTTGGTGGACATGTCGTCGGGCGAGGTCACCGAGCAGGTGGACACCGACTCGGGCTTGGCCTTGGAGTTGCCGTGCACCCTGGCGGGGCTGCCGCGAGCCTGGCTGCAGTAGAGGAAGCTGCGCTCCAGCGGGTCCTCGGAGCCGCTCAGGTAGTCGGCGTCCGGCGGCTCGGCGTGCGTGGACTGCGGCGTGCTGCTCGGCGGCTCGGACAGCGGCGTGCCGGCCGCCTCGGCCGAGTAGCCGCTGCCCTCGGGGCTGCAGTGCTGACTCCGGTGCTGCTCTGGCGTCCTGGACGCCAGGTTCTTGGTGCCCTTCTTCTGCGGCACGGCGGCCTTGGACAGTAGCAGCTGCTGCACTGTGTTGGAGATGTTCTCCACCTGGGACGTCAGGGCTGTGAGGCTCTGCAGGCTGAGGTCCGACAGCAGGTTCTCAGGCAGCTTGTCCTTCGGCGGCGGCTTGCCATTGCCCGCCTGGCTGTCCACCGAGCCGGCGGCATCGGTCGGGGAGGGGTTGAGCAGGGGCATGAAGTGGCTGTGGTCCGTGATGCCTGCGGGGAAGGCGCCGGCGCCGAGTGGCTGCTGGTTGTAGGGGAAGTTCTCTAGGTTGGGCATCAGCGGCGACGGGGTGGAGCTGTAGGAGGGCGAGCGGCCCACGGAGCGCGCGGGCGAGTGGCCGGAGCTGGGGCTGAAGGTCTGGTAGTACTGCTCCGGAGTCCTGACGGCCGCGTCCGGCTGGCAGTAGCCCGGGCCCTGCTGCCCGTAGTGCTGGTACTTGGCGAGGTTTTGGTAATGGAGGGTCTCCTGCGCGTGGTGCCGGCTCTGAAGCGCCGCCTGCTGCTGCTTCTGCTGGTCGTAGCCGAGGCGGCCGGACTGGTAGGCGTGAAGGTTCTGGACCCGCGGGCCCGGCGCCAGGGTGGCGCTGGCCGTTAGCGGCCGGTCGTGGGGCTGGGCGGACGGCGCGGTGCAACTCTTATAGGAGTGGGCGCCCTGGCCACCGCCGTTGCCGCCCTGGGCGCCCTGGGCGCTGGAGGAGTAGCTGGAGGAAGCGGGGAAAGACTGGGAGTGCTGGGGGAAGTGGCTGCCCTGCGGGAAGGGCAGCGGCGAGGCCATGTCGTTCTGCAGCTTCTGCCTTTGCAGCTTGGGGTACGCCAGGGGCTGCTGGGGCTGCGGCAGCTGCTGCTGGACGTGCAGCGAGTGAGTCCGGAAGGGCAGCTGGGCGCCCTGCTCCGGGTACTGCCTGCCAGGGGGTACCGCCGCCTTTTTCATCAAGCTGTCGTCATATTTGCCCACGCCCCCCGGCAGGGGCTGCGGCTGCGGCGGTGGCGGCTGGGGGGCCCCCCAGGCCTGCAGGCTCTCCTCGCCCGAGTAGCGGCCGGGGTACGCGCTGCTGTCCTGCACGCTGTAGCCTGAGAAGGCCGGCCTGCCCTGCAGGGACTGCTGCGAGGCCAGGCCCTTGCCGCCCCGCGCCGGGCCGGCGGCCGTGCTGGCGCCTCCCTCGTAGGCCGGGTAGGGCTGCGGGCTGTAGTAGTCCTTGGCCAGCAGCCGCTGCCGGTCGCAGCTCAGCCCGGCCTGGTTCGGCTGCCTGTAATTCTCCAGGCGCGATGTCTCCTGTGAGGTCTGCTGGTAGTTCTGTTGTTTGCCATGGAAACCACACCTTTCTCGAAAAGACTGCATGACTCGGGCTGGTTATCTGTGAAAAGAGAAAAGGAGAGAGGGAGGGCGGGGAGGGGAGGGGGAGAGGGAGAGGGAGAGGGAGAGGGATTCAGACGGGCCATTTCCCCTCCCCTCGGAAAGCCGCCCGCCTCCCACCCCTCTCCCGCCCGGCCCTCTCCCCTGCAGCTCTTAATGGTCTCCCCTTTGCCCGAGCCTCCCCACCAGCTGTGCACATATTGACAACTTCTGTGTCAGAGGGGTGTGCTCTGTAATTCCCAGCCCGACATCGGCCCCGCGGCCCGCTGGGCCTGGCCCGGGATGGCCACCGCTGCTGCAAGGCGAGGCGCAGACCCACTGCCCCACGCGCCCGCGGGGGGCACCCCACCCTGCTCAGGGTCAGCTCCTCCCCTCCACCCCACCCACCACTCCCAGCACTTCCCTGCCAGCAGAACCATTTAGCAGAGCGCTTCCCGCTCTCCGGTCCCCGGGGGGCCGGCTGGGTCCCAGTGCGGCAGTGTTCGAGCAGGACCCAGCCATGCGGGGACCGGGGAAGGTCTGCCCCTGCCCAGAGGAGCCACTCACCAGGGCCTGCGGAGAGCGGGCGCGCGTGTACACACACACACACACACACACACACAAGCAAGCACGCGCACACGCGCGCGCGCGCACCTCCTCTATCACGGCCATGCCATCTGGAATCTGTCTGTTCCTCCTAGCAGACGTTGATTAGGGGCTGTGGAGCCACGTTAGGCATAAAGCGTCCCCTTCTCCGACTCCCAGTAACGCAGGACAGCGGCACCTGCCTCCTGGTTTTGATATCATAGGTGCGTAAACAGATTACGTGGCCCAGAGTGAGGGAGTGCATGCTAATGGGGGACAGAGCCGCAGTCCCTTGGCCACGGAGGAGCGCCCCACAGCTGGGCGTGAGGCAGCCCTGGCGGCCCCTCCCGTCTCCATCTCCACAGGGTCAGCACCGGGGCACGCCAGGCCAAGAGCCCATCTGTTTATGATTTCAGGGGCTCGGGCCCCTGGCGAGGTCTAACCAGCCCCAGCGCAGGATCTGGGATCAGGAAATGACCCCGGAGAAGCGGTGGGCCCTTCAGGGCAGAGCAACTGGATTCACACAACAGCGTCCAGGCTAAAGGTCTCCCTGACTGGAGGCCAGGTCACCCCAGAAGCCCTCAAAGGAGGGAGGGGGAGGAGCAAGGAACGTTCCAGGCTCAGGAAGAGGAGTCTGGCAGTTAGCCAGACGCCCCGGGGGGGGGGGGGGGGGGGGGGGGGGGGGGGGGAGATTTTCCCCCCAAAACCCCCCCCCGGGGGGGGGGGGGGCGCGCAAGAGGCAGAAAGAAAGGCCCGGGCCCCCAGGAGGGCACCGGGGGACAGTCCAGTTCCCAGCCATTCCCAAGGTGAAAGAGGAAGGTGTTCAAGGCTACAAGATTCCAGGGTTATAGGAGGGACCAGAAAGGAATAAAGAGGCACAGAAGAGAGAGAGACACACACAGACGTGAGAAAGGACAGAGATGTGGGGGGGGGAGCTCCCCCAGGAGGTCCAAGTCACTCTTCTATTCTCCGCCCAGATCCCCCTTAGACGCCTTTCTCAATGTTGGGGCTGATCAGGGAGGGGGCCAGGGGAGGGGCCCCATCCAGCGGAGCGGGGGCAGCCAGAAGCCCCCAGGAGCCCTGTTAGCACAGCCCGGGGCCCACCTCCCCTGAGCTCGGCAGTCAGCTGACCCTGACTCAGGGGTAGATGCGCCTGCCCGGGGCTGCTGTGAGCGATGGGATCGGCGTCCCACAGGGCGAGCCCCTGCCCACCAGGCCCTGTGACGAACACAGCCCGGCGGCCTCCTCTCCCACCTCCTCCCGGATTTTTCACAGGCATCCCCAACAAGGAGAAATGTGCCCGCCCTTCTGACCCACTTCAGTCCCATCCCTGGCGGCTTGGATCAAACATCACAGGAGGTGCCTGCCGCGATGCACCGGGACCATAGCGGCTGGAGGCGGCACTTGGTTCTGGCCTGGTGGCTGTCAGCCAGGCAGGCAGCCCTGGGCCTCCTGAGCTCTGCGGAGAAGGCTTAGGGGCCGTCCCCCTTCCACCCTTGGGCAGAGGAAATGAGCAGGCGCACAACCCGGCTGGCAGTGGAAGTCACTTTTATTAGGGTGTCACTGGCTGGCAGGCGGGGTCGGCAGCAGGCCCTGCCCAGGAGGCCCTGCTCCAGAGGACACGACACTGCGCTCCTCCTCCGTCCCCCCCCCCCCGCCTGTGTTTATGAGCCCGGAATGCGCAAACCCAGGCCTGCTCTGGAGGCACAGGAGCTGAGCTGCGCCTCGTATATCTGCACAAATTACATTTCGTCTTTTATTAGTCCCAGATCGCTCCCATTTCCTGCTGAGTGTCCTGTGGATATCATTAACATTTCTACAGCTTTATTTTTTATTTTTTATTTTTCTTCACATTCTCCAAAATGCATTACCGGAAACATTACTTAAAAAGAGAGACTGCTATGGCCAGTGTCCGCCGCCGCCCCCCACCTTTAATCAGTCCAGCTGCTGTGTCTTTTAATTTAGCCGAGCTGTATTAAAGGCAGGTTTCCCAATACACACAAGCCCTGGATGCGGTGAAAGCATCTATCTCTAAGAAAAGACAGTTCAATTAAAATACGAGAAGCCCAGTGCCTGATGGAGAACGCAGGCAAAAATGCTCACCCCAACACCACCCTCCAACCCCAGGCGGCGGGAGGGGGAAGAGGGACGGTTGCAGGAACAAAGGCATGGCATCAAAGTCGGGCTCAAGGTCCGCCAGCTCAGCCAGGAGAAAATGGGGCTCTGCCTCTTTAAGAGCTGCCTCAGGCCTGCCACAGGCTCTGTTGTTATTAATTATTATGATTATGATTACTTTTCAAGAGCACCAGGACATGACAAGGAGGGGGAGAGAGGCAGGCACCAGGCAGGGTGGGCGGCAGCAGGAAGGGCCCCTTTGGCAGAGAGGGACAGACCCGGGGTCTGGCCTCAGTGGGTTCAGCTGGAGGGAGAAGGGCACCCCCTAACACATCCTCGTGGGGCTCCTTCGGGTCCAGCCTAGCCTCCCCCCTCCTTGCTTCCCCCACCTGGGTCTTGGGGACACTGGGTCAAGGCCTGATCTCTGAAGTTCCTGAGGGGAGGGAGGAAGTCAGCCTTAAGCGTCCTCTAGGCACCAGATACGATGCTTAGGACAGAAGTCCCTTATGACAACTCTTGGAAGGCAGTCTTCCCAGGACCCTGGACCAAGGGAGCAGGGGAGGACGGGGTGGGGGGTGGGGGGGACCCTTGGCATTGGCCAGGAATGCTCACTCTTGTGCAGGTTTGCTGGGTTAACACTTTGACTATTCTGCCCTTCCAGAGAAAAAAGGTGAGGTTCAGAGAGCAAGAGACTGACCTTTGAGCCCACCCACAGTGAAGTTCCTTTTGCTGGATGACCAGACCGAGGGTGCACGTTCGCTTCCCTGGACCCCACACCAAGAACTCCCACCTACAGGAAGGCGTGGCAGCAAGAAGGTGCTGGAAGGGGAGGGCGTAGGGCCCCCTCTGCAGCCTCTGAGGCCCTGAAGACCAGGCCAGGACCCCCCCCCCCCTTATTCCGGGAGCCGGACCCACCTCAGGGAGGTCCACTCATGAGTAGTGCTGGTTACTGGCCACCTGCTGTCACCCCGTAACTGCTGTCCCTGGGCCCACAGCCCCTCCAGTGCCCCGGGCCAGGGAAATGGGCACAGCATGGGCCAGAGCTGCTGCAGCTCCCACAGGGGACCTGGTGGAGCCCAGCTGGGAGGCTGTGGCTGGAGGTTTTCCTGAGGGAGAGGGGTGGCGGGAGAGGGGCAGGGTGGGAGACGGAGGAAGAGAGAGGAAGGAAGCTTTCTGTTCCCCAGCAGCGGCTGTGAGACTGCTGGTTCCATCCTACCCACTTATCCAAGGTTGTTTTATGACCCGGTTTCCTGATTTGTAGCTGCAGGGAAAAATGCAAAAAGCCAACCCACTCAAGGCCTGGGAACTAGGAAGAAGGAGAAAGTTCCCTGGAGCAGGAGGCTTGGGAGGCCGGGGGTGTCCAGCGAGGAGTGAAGAAGATAGGACCACCCTGCACCTCCCCATCCGTCTGGGGTGAGTGATGAATACTAAGTAGGAAACCTCGATTAAAATGATAAATCACTAGCCAGCTTTCCTGCTGTCCTGTGGGGTCTACTTTGAATCCTAACGGCCTGGCTTGAATAGGGGAAGGGATGAGCTTCCAAGCAGTCCACGAGACAAACAACTCAGTCCCTGCAGGCCCCAGGGAAGGGTTAGGGTCCTTGGCCTAGGGGCTAGTGGGGAGGGAAGGACCCGAGCTAGAGGGGAGAGCCCTGCTGGGGCAGAGGGGGGCAATCCTGGGGCATAAAGAATCCCAGAGAACAAGGCAGCCCCCACCTCAAAGGATGGCCTCTCAAGACCACTCCATGTGGGCAGCACCCCCAACACACTTGACGCGAACCCCTCCTCATTCATGGGTACCCACGCACGCTCCATGGGAGAACCCCACGGGAGCCCGGCATATGCCTCTGCAGGGCCTCGCTCGGATGGGAGGACCCGGGGGCCGGGGGTTCCGAATACTCAGAGGCAAGCTACGGGGTGAGAAGGGCAAGATGCTGGAAGACCGCCTTGCGCTCTCTCCAGATGTGGGGCAGGCCCCCAGCCAGGCTCTGTGTCTGAGGACAGGAACCCCAGATGAGGCGGGATCTCGGGGCTCTTTGGACGAAGTCTGAATGGGGAGCAGAAGCTTCTGGACTCTCCAGACATTTGGAAAGCCTCCCCTCCAAGCCCACCGATGCTGTCTCCTCCAAGGCCCCAGCTGCAGAGGCCCCAGAGGCCCCCCCTAAGGCCCGTGCAGATCCTGTTCTCAGGGTCACACGCTGATGTTAACGCCCCGCTCCTGGGGCGTCACAGGGTGTGTGGAGCGTGGACTGTGCTAGCTTCTGGAAGCCCCAGGCCCAGTAAGGAAGCCACAACGCCATTTCCAGGAGCAGTAACCTGCGCGAGTCCCACAGCCCAGAGACAACAGGACCCAGATCTCCACCTGGGTGCCTGACTTCTAAAGCTGAGCCCCGCTCCGCAGCCACACCCCACTGCCCCACGGCGCGGTTTCTGGGATGCGGTGGTCAACGGGCCCCCAGACCTGGGCCGTCCAAGACGGAGGGGCCTGCAGTCCAGGTGACCAGCTGGGGTAGCTGTGGGGTAGCAAGAGGGGATTCAGCAGCAATGGTGCTGTTGGCATTCCAGAGCCCCCCACCCCCCGGGGCGGGGGGACACTCACTTATTATCAGTTCCATACTTACCAGTCTCTTGTGGACAGTAATTGTTTTTAGATCATTTTATTCACCATTCAACAAAACAGATATCACCACCTCTCCCCCTTGCTGTCAAAATGAGGATAAGAAGGGGGGCGGGGGGTTCCTGACTCCTGAGTTGTCATCAGCTAGGAGGGCTGGGGTCTGGTGGCCCACACATTCAGGGACCCCAGGTCAGCAAGTCAACGGGCTGGCTCAGAGGCTGCCGTGGGCATCTGAGGGGACCCACGGTGCGGGGAGGGGCTCCTGGTCTGCTCTGTGATCCTTCCCACCAAAGCCCCAGATGTTTCTGGCCTTGCGGGCCGCCACGCAATGTGGATCAGACAGGATCTGTGTGTCCGCTGGCTCTGAGGGCAGGCAAAGGTGAGAGAGAGAGCCCAACTTCTCACCCCAGCCTGTCCTTGAGGGCCACCCCGCGTGCCCCGAGGGACCCTGACTTCCCTGCGGAAGTGGCTTCATCAGCTAGGGGCTTGTCTGGCTGCTTCCTGTGCTGGGAAGATTGTTCTGATCTCTGCACGCCTTACTCCCTCGGCTCCAACAGGACTTTGCTCATGTCACCTTCCCAGGGACCGCTCCCTGACCACTGTGCTTGGAAGAGCACCCCGTGCACGCCTCCTCTCCTACTTCTATCACGTGCTCACCTCCTTGTCCTAAGCCACGTGGCCCGCTGGCTTTACGGCTGGTCTCTCCTCTTTAGAACTACAGTTCCCCAAGCAGGCGTTTTGGCCGGTTTTGTTCACAGCTCTATCCCCATATCCCCGAACAATAAATATGTATTGAAAGAATAATGTATCAGTGTCACATTAACCCTATGGAAATATCCAGAACCAGCCGTCGATTGCAGCGAGGAGAACTGGGTGGACATGGCGGGGCGGGCGGGCGCGGGGGTGGGGGTGGGGGTGGGGGGAGTGCTTATCGCCACAACCGCTCATTCATTCCACAGAGAACAAGCTCCTTCTGGCCTGGCAGGTAATGCACCTGAGTGAAGCCAGCAGGTGGGGATGGAGGCACACTGAGGGTCCCCAGTCCCAAATAAAGTGAGGGGGCGCCTCACTGAACTCCAGAAGAGCTTTGGGAAGGAGAGCACCAGAGCTTCGGAGCTTTTTTTTTTTTTTAAATAAAAAGGGAAGTCTCTCGTTTTAATAAATGTTATCGACCAAGTAAAAAGTTTTAACACCCCAGAGTTGAAGAGGGCCCGTCTGTGGGCTGCAGCTCATCACAAGCCCCCGGGTGTCACACGCTGATGTAACTGGTGCGCCACGGAACTTTGCAAGGGCAGAGCTAGCAGGAACAGAGTTCGGGCACCTGGCAGGTGGTCAAGGCACAGGCAGGCGCTCAGTGTGAAGGAATGAGAACAGGGGAGCACCCAGAACCTTCCCTGGGCCCTGGGAGAAGTCCTGAGACCAGCACGACCCAGGGAAGCGTGGAGTGGGGCCGCAGGGTGGGAGCGACTGGAGGAGGCAGGGCCTGAGCGGCTAGGGCCCCACGGGGAAGGTAAAGCTCAGAGGTGCAGCCAGGTGGGGGAGCCGCAAAGGCTCGGAGGCAGGAGGCCTGAGGCCCCCAGGGGTGGTAATAACCTTCAGAGCATTCCACCCCAGGCGCCAGATGAGGCCCTGCTGTCCGCCCCCCCCCCCTTTGCTGGGTCCCTGCAGGGCTCCTTGGTGGCACTTATCACAGTGGTAATCACATAATTAATGGTATAATGAGCTGCTTTACATGTGCCTCCCTGGGCAGAATGTAGCCTGATGAGGGCAGGGGCTTCTTCACCTGTTTGCTCCTACGCCCTAAGTGCAGAAACTGTCCCGACCAGGTGCCAATTAATATTGCTTGGATGGCTGAGCAGATGGGATGGTTGAGGGGCTCAGCGCTGGCTTGGGTGCATCATTTAACCTACCCACAGCTCTAAGGGATGATGATGATGGGCCTGAAGACCAGCCAGGACACGTGCAGTAGCCAATCAGGAAGGAAAGCCCACAGGCTTCCCCTGTGTCCTCCACACCCCCTGGGTCACAGCCCCTCCCTCAGCAAGCCCATTTCTGTTCAGCTTACAGTCGGGTGGGGTGGGCTGGAGTTGGGTGCTGAGGATACAGAGGGAAATGCAGCAGGGCCCCTGCCCTCCTGAGGCTGACAAGACACCCAGGAGGCTGTGGGGTGGGGAGTGAAGGTGGTCAGGGCAGGCTGGCAGGAGGGCGTAATTATGTGAGGAAGGGTAAGGGCTCACCGGATGGAAGGAGCGGCCTGAATGAGGCTGGAGGGAGAACACAGCAAGGGGGGGGCGGGGCGTATCTCCCCTCCCCCACCTCAGGGGGCCCGGCTGCAGTCGGTCAGATGTCCTCTGTTCTCATGGCACCAATCCCTGGCAATCCTGCAAAGTCACCCAGATTTGTTAGCTGCCCTGTATGGCTGCTGGGGGGCCGGCACTCTCCTCTGTGCCTTTGGAAATCTGCGGCCCAGGCTGGAGAGGGGTCTCTGGCTCGTTTTTGACCTGATGCTGCCTACCTCTCCCCCTGCCTCCCGCCCACAAGGCCAGCAGCTAGCAGCACTGAGCCACCAAAAGCCACTTTCTATAGAGCATATTCTAGGTCAAACTTACCCCTCCTTTTGCAGAGGGATTAACAGAAGCCCAGAGAGGGACAGGGACTTGTCCAGGAGGCCCAGCAGGGCTGAGATCCCTCTACAGCTCTGGGCCCCTTGGTCCACCAGAAAATGAACCCGGAGCTGCAAGCCCAAAGGGGTAGGGGTCAAGGTCCTCCTGTTCGACACCCCTGCTTGCCGGAGGAGCCAGGGAATGTCCCCCCCCTTCCCCAGCCTGGGCAGGAACCACCCCTCCCTTCCCTGCCTTTGACACCCGCTCTGCGCAGCATCCTGACAGTCGGGGAGGCTCAGCAAGCCAGCCCCTCCCAGCCCCGTTCCACCTGGGGGAGCCAGGGAATTGGCGCCCCCCTCCCCCCCAGCCCCCAGGGGAGGAAGCCGCCTGTCAGGCCGCCACGGCGTGTCAAATCCTCTTGCTGCCTAATTGTGAGACGGCGGCGTTTAAAGAAACGCTTTTCTGGCCGTCTGCCACACCGCAAACTGCTTGGTATAATTTTATTATTAAGGAGAGAGAAAAAGAGGGAGGGGGGGTGGGGGGAGGGGGGGGGGGAGGGAGGGAGAGAGAGAGAGAGAGAGAGAAAGGGAGAGAGGAGGAAATTGCTTAGTCCAAGTCAGCTGGTGGAGTATTCTGCTCAATGTGAAAGCGGGGACGGCTTTCCAGTTGGCAAGCTGACTTCGTTAATTGCGCATTCAGTCTCTACTTAGGGTAATTGAAACGAAGCGGGGCCCAGGTCTGACAATTAGGGTCTGCGACTAGGCCATTAACCCTTTCCGCCCCCGCCCCCCCGCCCCTGATGGATACCTCGCGGCCACTGAAAGTGGGGGGAGGGCCGCTGGGCACCCCCGCGAGAAGCCATTCTGAGCCCGGGGGCTGGAAGCCCCACGCGGAGGCGCCGACTGCGGCAGGGGGGCTGCGGGGCGGGCGCCCCAGCGCGAGCAGGGTTAACGCGGTGCCGCGAGTCCGGGAGCCCGGCGAGGGCCGAGCTGGGGATGGGGGGGAGCCGCGCAGGGTGTGTGGGGGTTGTTTGCGGCCTCGCCGCCCCTCTGCAACAGATGTTTCAGCCGTGTAAGACAAAGGCAGAGCGCCGGCTGCTGCCGGGAGAAAATCCGCAGGACTCCCTCAGGGGCAGGTAAAATTTCACCTTCTATTTGTGTTCCCCCCCCCTCACACCCCCGCTCGCCCCCGCCCGGTTTCCCGGCCTCTGCGCCAATCCGGAAAGCGCCACCAAAGACGCCGCGCCGCCTCCGCCGCAGCCCAACCCGCTGACCCCAGCAAGGTCACGGCGACCTCGGGCTCCGCCAGCAGCGCGCCCGCCCGTCCTCTGCCGCCGAGTGGTGCCTCTCCGCGCCCGGCCCCCTCCCGGGGCGCCTCCCCCCACCCCCGTCCGCGAGCCGCGGTAATTGGAGGCGCCGGGAGAGACAGGAAGGGGGCGCTGCACTCGCCACGAGGCGGAGGCGGCGCTGGACGCTCCGCGCCTCCCTCCTGCCTGCACTGGGACCCCGGGGGGCTCTGCCCCCCCAGCCCCCATCATTCATCTCCCTGATTCCCGCTGTATCCGCCCTCGGAAGTCAGCCGAGTGAAGCAGCTGTTCCTTGCACACTCCACTTGACCAAAGATGATGATAAATGAGGCCCGGGCTGCGTCGGGGCCGCGGCGGCGGCCGCCAGGGGCGCGCAGGGCGGGGCGTACGGCCTGCAGCCCCCCTCCCCGCGCCTCGGAAAGGGCGAGGACGCGGAGGACAGAGGCCGAGGGGCACAATCAAAGGGCCGCACTACCCTCCCGGCGCCCGGCGCAGCCCCCCCGTCCCGGCTGCGAGCCGGCGGCGGGCGGAGGTGCGCCCGGGACGCCCGGGCCGAGGCGGAGACCTCTTACCCGCGGCCCCGCCCCCGCCCTGCCCACCCCTTCCCCTAAAGCCGCGGTCCCCAAGGCGCCGTCGCCCCCACCCCACCCCCACCCCGTGCCTCAAACCTATTAACGCTCGTAAATAATGAATAATGGAGCGCTTCCCTCCAGCCGCGCGGGGCTGCGGGCGGGGGCCGCTGCCAGCTGCGCCCCGGCCTGGGGAGGGGGCGCCCCCCCACCCCGGCCGGGTGCAGGGGGCCCGGGCGCGCGGCCCCGCACACGTGCAGCCGCGGCGCGCAGGCGGGCACCCCGCCCCGCGGAGGAGGGGGAATCCCGCGCTGCCCTCCCCAACGCCACCTCCCCTGGAGTCCTCTGGCACCGAACGAGGCGAGAGAGCGCGCGCGAGCTTCCCAGCCGGAGAGGGTTATTTTTAACCTGCCCCCCTTTCTATATCTGCCTCTCGGGTTTGCGCGCCCGCCCGCCCGCTCCACCAGCCGAGGACGCGGGCTCCTCACCTCGCTCGGCGGCTCCGGCCTCTGAGCGCCTCCCCCGGCCCGCGGCCCCCGCCCCTGCGCGGGCATCGCGCGGCTAAATCTCAGCCTGGAAAGGACCGATTAGGAGCCGCGTGCCTTTCTGCGAAATATTGGAACCGGGTGGGGTGGGGGCGGGGAGCCCGGCGCTCTCGTCCCCTCGCCTCCCTCCTTGCTCGCCGTGACTGCGAGAGGCGGCTCCGGCGCTCCCTCCGCAAAACAGGGGGCGGCCAGGCCGGGGCGCCGAGCCCCCCTTTGCTTTTCGCCCTTCACTCCTCAACGCCCACCCTTCAGTCATCGACAAAGCTGGAGCTTCTAACACACCGACCCTCCGGCAGCGGCGGCGCCAAGTGGGGCGCTGCCTCCCCCATCTCGGCCTCCTCCCTGAGCCACTCCAAACAAACACACCATTTAAACAGCAGCGGGCTTGCACACCAACTTCAAGGCGGACCCCGCCCGTGCCCGTGCCAAAGGCGCACGGGGGGGGGCGGGGGCTCTTTCCCCAGCCTTGTCTCCCTCCTCTCAGACTTGGCCTCCTTAGGGGCCCCCTCGCCCCTCCCTCCCATTCCCTTCCCCTTGGCGCCCAGCAGCCCAGACCCCCCCACCCCCCTTCTTCAGGGGAATGAGGCAGCAGGAAGTTCATGTCCATTCCCATTACCTTGCTTTCCAAAAGGCCACCCACCCAAACCCCAGCCTGTCCTTACCCCCAAAGGAGGGGGCAGCGGAGGAGCTGGCTGAGCTCAGAAGCCCCCTCCAGGCTTTGACTGGATCATTCACTTGACATTTTCCAGACTCTGCTCACGCCCAATCCTGGAGACCCACAGGCACAGGGCCCCCTAAGGACCCCCCTCTTGAATGAGGTGGGGTAAAAGACAACTGCTGCAAAATATAGGGGAAAACTGTGGAGGAAGTGGTGGGCTTAGGAGGGAGAAGGGCGTTTCAGCGGCAAGGAGCTGCCTGGCTTAGTGGCAGGAAAGAACGCAGCGTATTTGGGAATCTGAGCCGGATTTCTCTCCCCAGCTTAGCTGGAGGGTGGGGGAAGGGTCCGGCCCCCACCCCAAGCGAGCCACCTCTGGCTGGGATTATGGTAAGCCTGGCAGGCTGGAGCGGGTGTGTGTGTGTGAAGATGCATGTGGACTACAGATGTGAGGACAGCAGGTGCCACCAGGCTTATCTGATGACACCTTGGGGCCAGGAGCTGGAGCTGGGGGGCCCAGGTGGCCCTGCAGGTGACGCAGGTCCAGGAGGCAGGAGAGAGCAGGCCCCCTAGCACATGCAGGGCCTGGCAGGGCAGAGTGGGGGTTCTCCAGGGACTTCCCCCCCCCAGCCAGCCGAGATACTGAGCCTGGGGCCACCCTCAGATCTAGAAAGTTCTCAGTAACCTCAGACTATTAGAAGGGGTTTAACAGCAGCAGCGTCAGACAGCATGCTGTCTGGCCCCCTCCTACGGCCAAGGTGCCTTGATAGATTTTACTTCTAACCCTCAAATTGCCCTTCTAGGAGGTGACGTCACCTCTCAATTCACAGCGGTGGAAACTGAGCTCCAGAGCGTGGAAGAAACCATTCTGGAGGCCTTTGCCAGTGCCTCCCACCTGGGGCTGTGGGTAGGGCCTTGAGCTTTGCTTCCTGACAGCTGGGTATCCGGGAGGTGCCCAGGGGCTTGAGGGCGCAAGATAATGAGGTCCTGATTTGCTCCTTCGGAAATTTCAGAAAACTGGATTTCTTGGGAGAAAGCAAGCGCAAGGAGTTGGTGAGGTGGGGAACTGGAAAGAGAAGCCACAGTGCCCACCACCACCAACTCCTCGCAACCAATTCCTCCGGCAGATCTAGTTACCCACTGCCGCGCCGGGCCCCCTGTTGAGGGACCCCAGGTGGGGGTTTGGCTCCTGAGGCTGCAGAGTTATTGTAAGGGAAGCCTGGAGTCCACACTTAGGCCTCCTGTATTTGTCTGTAGCCCAAATAGAAATCTCACACACCATGTACCCCTGCCCCCAACAACACACTAACAGCTCCTATTTTGATATGAAAAGCATCTCTGGCCCAAGACTGGGTGTGGAGTGGGCTACCCTATGGATGAACGGCTGGGACCCTGTCCTCCTGGTTACCACTGTTTCCCGCCCCCCACTGCCCTGGCTGCCCCCCATTGCCAGAAAGGGAACTTCCATTTCTGGGCAAAGCTTGGATGGATGGCCTGCTGCCCCCCGCAATCCCTGGGTGGGGTGGGGGAATCCTGGCCAGCCCCCCAGACATGTAGCCCGGTGACCAGAAGCACTGACCTGTGGGGAAAGTGAACCACCAGCCACTGCCCCAGAGGCTGGGCCAGAGGTGGCCTGGGCCTGCTTGCCTCAGGACGGAAAATATTTGCCTTTGGTTTTCAGAGGCCACCTCCTCCTGCTTGATTTTCCTCTCTTCCACACAGTTGTGAAATGTGGAGGTGCTTAAAGGAAGGGAGGGTGAGGGCAACTGTCCGAGGCCAGTGGCTGGCCGTTTTGAACAGCACTATGTTTCTCCCAAGGTGAAGAGAATCCTTTCGGCCTGCTGGCCCGCACCCCGAGTTCCCTCTGCCCAGGTCCAGCCCCCTCGGGCCTCACCAGCCCCCCCCCACCAGAACCACCCCCTGCTGGCTTCCAGTCACTCGGCATCTGGGGGAGACGCCTGACCCCAATGCTGTCTTGTTCTGGAAAGTTGTTCCGGAGAATCTTTCCTGGCTGGTTCTGGGGTGCTGGTGACCGCATGGGGAGCGGCAGGCCTCTCCAGCTCCCAAGACATGTCCGATTCCCAAGGGCCAGGCCCGCCAACTGTGAGGACTCACAGGCGGCCAGCCGTGTGGCTCTGGGGGGCAGGGAGGCAGCATCCTCCCCCAGCCCCATCCCAACCGTAAATGCCAGTGCCCCGATGGCACACGGCTCTGGGTTCAAATCCCACTTCTGCCCGTGATCTGCTGGCTGGCCCTGGGCAATTCACTGAACCGCTCTGCGTGTTCCTCAGCTGAAACCTTATTCACACCACACTTACAGGGTCAGCGCGAGATGGGAGGCTGTGCTGAGCTTTGCACCTGGTAGTGTCTCTGGCACTGTCCACGGGGGGCGAGGGCCAAGTGCTGTACTCTGCCTCCTGGGGAGCTGTGTGTGTCTGAGACAGAGCAGGTCTTCTGGAAAGTAGGGCTTTACGGGGGAGGATGGTGCCCCCCCCCCCCAGCTGGGGAGGCTTCTGGGACTAAGAATTAAGGTCTGTCCCCAGACGGTGTCCTGTCCCCCATGGCAGGTGCATTATCTTCCCAGCTGGAGTTTCGGTGTTTCTCACACACTACCGTGCAGGTCGTAGGAAGATGGGAGATTCTGATGCTGGGGGCCAGGGGTGGGGCCCGGGACCCTGCAATCCGAAAGAATCATGGGCCAGTCCAGCTGGAGTGAGATCTCAGCCCTCGGACACTCCAGGTCCCACTGAGTCCTGGAGGCTGGGGTCGGTGAGGGGCTCCGGGTCCGGTCCTGTCCTGTCCTGAGGAACCAGGACCAGACTCTGGTTCTGCGGCTCTGGGCCCCAGGTCTCAGAGCTGAGTCCCCGCAAGTGGCGTGAGCAGCCCCCAGGACTCTGCATTTGGCATTGCCTCCGGGCAGCGACACACTGATAAAAGGCAGCTTCACTCTGCTAAGCTTGTGACCACTTCCAGGCTGGGCTTCCTGGGCCTCAGTGTCCCCATGGGCACAGTGGGAAGCCGGGATACAGTGATTCCACACTTTCCATTGGTGGTTCCCCACGCTTCTTCCGTTCCCTGGCCCTTTCCGAAGGTACAGCAAATCTCAACCCAAGCGCGGACCCCAGGGGCAGACCCTAGGGGGCTGCATTCCTTGGGATCCAAAGGTCACCCAGACTGACAATAAACAGCACCCAGTCTTGCTGTCTGCCCTTTGTGCCAGTCCCTGTCCCAATAAGCACTTTGCATCTACATACCTCATCCTCACGACACCCTCGGGGTGGGGGTGTGTGGGTACCATCATCACCCTTCTTTTAGCAAGAGCTGAAACCCACCACTTGAGGTCACACCACTGGTCAGGGGTGCAGGGCCTGCAGTGACTGGACTCCCATTGTTTCCAGCCTGGGCCCCTCAGACATACATGGCCTTTGAGGATTTCCTTACGGGAAATAGCCGAGTTGATTTTCTAGGCCCGGAGCAGGTGTGGACGTGGCGCATTGCATCTACCCGTACAGTGAGGGTGTGGGGCAAGAGCGGATGTGGGGAGCGAGCTGGTACAAGCTCTCCAGAGAGTTTTTTGGCAATACAGACCCAAATGGAAACTGCATGTGCCCTCTGGCCCTGCAGTCTTGCTCCCTGCCCGTCGCAGAGCCTTTTGCGCAGGGCGAGGACCCTGGTGTCCTTCGCAGCAGTGAAAGCCTGGAGATCCCCTGCAGTGTCCATAGGAGGAGAATGAAGAACACACATTTGGGGAATTCCACACAGTGGAGTCTAGAGAGTAAGGAAGGGCTCTGTGCACAGATGGGGTGTAGTCTTCAAGTTGGGGAGAAAAACTGTAGAAAGTGTGCAGAGATGCTCTGCTGTATACAAGGGGAAAGTATGTTCGATTTTTTTTTCCCCATGAGCATATAACCCTTACAGAAAGATTTTAAAGCTTATATGGATAAATCTCCATCCCCTGGGCTATGCGAGGCGGCTGAGGAAGGAGCCTGGTTTTGGGCTCCAGTCTGGCATGGCTCCATTCCAGCTGTTGGATTATAGGCCAGAGGGTCCTGCGATCGCAGCTTCATCAGTAGGATGGCACGAGGGGCGCCTGGGTGGCTCAGTCTGGAAAGCGTCTGCCTTCAGCTCGGGTCATGATCCCAGGATCCTGGGATCGATCCCTGTGTCAGGCTCCCTGCTCAGCAGGGAGTCTGCTTCTCCCTCTCCCTCTACCCCTCCCCCGCCGCTTGTGCTGTCTCTCTCAAATAAATAAAATAAAAAATCTTAAAAAACAAAAGTAGGATGGCACGAGGCCCTGCTGCCAAGAGCGGTCAGCACCCCTGTGTCCTGCACTGGGCAATGGGCATGATGGGGACCATGCCCCCACTTCACAGGTGGGGGAACTGAGGCCCCAAGTGGGGGGGGGCGGCGAACCTGAATCTCCCTATAGTCTGTATCATCACTTCTGGGCGTACAGCCTTGGGGGGCACACAGACAGGACTGGCTTGAGATAAACCCCCGGCACACAACTCCCACGGGCTACTCCTGGCGCTACGTGTCGCCGAACATTCCAGTCCATTTCCACCCGCAGTGTGCTTCCTTCAATCATCAGAACAAAGGCAACACACATTGTAAAACTTAAAAGCACTGGCCAAGCTGGGCCTGGCTGAGACGGAGGGGGTCCAGGAGTGTCTGGGGCCAAATCCTGGCTTTGACACTACTGACCTGAGGGGCCTCGGCACGCAACTCCAGCAGCGTGCCTCAGTTTCCTCATTGGTGAAACAGGAGGAAAAGTAAGTCCCTCGGAGGGTGGGTAAGAATTGAGGGGCGCCTGGGCGGCTCAGACATTGGGCGTCTGCCTTCAGCTCAGGTCGTGATCCCAGGGTGCTGGGATCGAGCCCCACATCGGGCTCCCTGATCGGCGGGAAGCCTGCTTCTCCCTCTCCCACTCCCCCTGCTTGTGTTCCCTCTCTCATTGTGTCTCTCTCTATAAAATAAATAAATAAAATATTAAAAAAAAATTGAGAAAGTGGACGGTCGTCCAAGCCAGGCCTGGCAGAGGAGGGCCCAACAAGTGAGCTGTTATTTCTAAAGGGTAAATATTTATATAATTTTTTATAACAGAGGGAAAGTTCAGGAAAATCCCTGAAGGGTCCTAGCTGGCTTGGGAGGTGAGGCCAGGCGGGGGTGGGGGGTGGGGGAGTAGGGGGTGGCGGCGGGAGCTCCTTGGAGCGACAGGAACCTAGCTCTAGCATCCCGGCCCCAGGAGGAGCTGGTCCCTGCCCTGGGTGGGCGGGCACGCGGTCTGGGCATAGGCAGGCAGCGCCCAGAGCAGGTTGGTGGGACAGACTTGGCCGGAGGCCCCTCCAGCCCCGGGCCCACGGAGAGAGGGCTCAGAAAGGGCCCTGTGTTCCACCCTGCTCCAGGGCTGGCTTTTTCCAGACCAGAGCCTCGTGAGCCTTTGGAAAGAACATTCAGTCCCTGAGGCCCTGCACTGACTTTCTGTGTGACCCCAGGTGAGTCACCCCACTTCTCTGGGCCTCTGTGCCTTCACCCGTTACATGTGGATCGTGATAAGCACCTTCCTCACAGGACCCAACGGGAAAATGGACATCAAGGCGCTCTGTCATCATCCCCTGCACAGTGAATTCTCACATGGTGCTTTTGTGTGCAGGGCCCTGGTTTAAGAAGCAGCTTACATATTTTAACCCCTCTTACAGATGAGGCAACAGAAGCACAGAGAGGTTAGGTCAGTTGTCCAAAGTCACACAGCTTATAAGGAGCCAGAAGCACTAATAGTAGGTCAATAATGAGAAGTCGAATACTATTATTAGAATCCATGGCTGTGAGGTCAGACCTAGGATCTGGAAGCTCTGAACTCAATTCCTGGAGGCAGCTCTGGCCAGGGTAGGAAGGCCCAGGAGGGAGCACTGCGTTGTGGTCGGCTATGATTTTCATGGCAGGGAGCTGCTGTCCCAGGCACTGGGATTTTTTTTTTTTTAAGATTTTATTTATTTATTTGAGAGAGAGAATGAGATAGAGTGCATGAGATGGGGGAGGGTCAGAGGGAGAAGCAGACTCCCCGCTGAGCAGGGAGCCCGATGTGGGACTCGATCCCGGGACTCCAGGATCATGACCTGAGCCGAAGACAGT